TTCCTTACCTCATTGCTATTCATCTTTCACATCATAGAAATGAACATGTAGACCCCTCAGTGGATACTGCCGGTAGCTTGGCCGACGTGCCTAAAGGCAGGTCATTTTGGGTCAGTCCATAGTTCAGACAGCTGCTGTCAGAATGAATCGGAGACACCTTAGATCTGATTTTAATCACCTGTAAGACAAGGCAAAGATAATATCACAATAAGCACTTACATGCCACAACCACTTGAGACAAAAAACAAATTTTATAATGACCTTTCATTTTGATTACACAGATTTATTCACAATCAAAGCAATTTGAACTGATGTCAAACTGGATTAGATATACGCATCCTTAAAGTTATATATGTTATGATTAAGTATTAATATGATAAACAAAAACATTACCAATGTGTTGTTGGTTGTATTGCACAGATTTTTGGTTGGCCATTGCTGCTTTTAGAATTTATAAATTAAAATGGCTTAATATATTTCTAAACAGCTTCTGAGAACAAATTTATTTTCTTGGACTTATTTTGGGGGGAGGAATTCAATAGATTTCATTACTGTAAGTTTTGAACTGTACGATTGCCTTCAAACCAGTTGTTTCTTAGAGAGACAGACAGACAGACGGATACAGACATAAATTATTTGTTAGAACTGTGATACTACAACAGCCTGTCAGCTGCTATTGAAAGTCCATGTCGAAGGATTTACAATTCCTTTGATTCAAATTAAATTGAAGGGCACTGTAGGACATAAATGCTGGCATCACAGTGGAATTATCATGTTGTCAGGCTGTTAATAGATTTTCTGACAGTCAGGCAATAAAAAGATAGGTCAACAGGCACACAGGATGCTTTGCACACACCTTAGACAGTATTGCTAGCACCTGATGTAATTTGACAGGTTTCATATTTGGCTAAGGGGGCTATATTGTGCAACTGTCCAGCAAGTGCAGAATACTCCTTACAGCACAGACTACGATGACACAACATGAGTACATGAGTGGGTGTTATAAGTATAAAAAAAACACCTGCAGCTTCCAATATTGGTTCACTTTGACAACTATATGCCAAACTATATCTTTGCTTAGCAGTGGTTGACTTGAAAATATACTTCATGGCACAACTCCATAGATGTGACAGCACTGTTTTTGCAGAAGATCATTAATTGCTAGTTTTCTGTTTCTGAAAAGTATTTTGTTTGTGTTTTGGTGTATTCTTATATGCATTGCTTTTTTGGCCTAAAACTCACTTAAAATATTGTTTACACTTAAAATATAAGCATGCAACCTGGATGGATGGATGGATGGATGGATGGATGGATGGATGGATGGATGGATGGATGGATGGATGGATGGATGGATGGATGGATGGATGGATGGACTGAAGCAAATTCAGTTTTGAAGTGATTTATTCAAGGGAAAAAGTTCTCCAAACCCAGCTTTAATGTGAAAAAAAGTTGCTGTTATTCATCAGAGATAAAGCACATCTGTTTGGAATATTGAATTCCATTTTAATGGTCTACCTAGGCTGTAATTCTTCCAGAATTACTAAATAATTTATGTTAAAACCATCTTACAACATGAAAGATTTTAGTCTTGGTGAAAACTGACCAGTGACACAATAAGAGAGCAGGGAACATTGACAGTCCTTCCAAGGATAGGAGTGGCCAGTCTTCCAGAATTAATCAGCAGCATATAAATGATTCCTTTAGGAAGCCACAGAAAATCTATGACAGCATCTAAAGCATTTCTTACCTCACGAGAAGGTCAATATTTGTGATTCCATAACAAGTAAGAGACTGGAAAAAATACTTAATGGGAGACTTTCTAGTCCACATTCACTGCCAAACAAAAACACAAGGGTCTTTCTTACATATTTACAAAACAAAGCAAAAAAAAGATTTTAGAGAAAAACATCCAGAGGAATGATCCATATTGATTGTTTACTAGTAGGTGTGAGTCTCATGTTAGGAATTTTAACCCCTCTCCAATGACCCAAATGAGAACGTTAAAGAAATTGAACTAGAGGTGAACTATTTGGAGTAATAAATGATTCCAGAGAGAAAGAGAAGGTATCACTGGTAAACAGCATTGTGCCATTTCCCACATTTCCTGTCTTCATCAACATATTATGTGAAAGCCTCTATGCATCCCTGTGCATTAGTAGCGATGAACCACTTCCTCTTGGAAAAAAGCCTGCTCAGACATTCACCCCTTAAACATAGTTAATATCATCAAGATATTAATTATTCATTAAACTAAGCACAATGAAGTTTGTTTCAGCCGTCTTAAAACTAGCAACATCTCAGAAAATAAAAAAAGAAATATTGACTGTTAACCATTGCTGATGATAGGGTTAAAACCATCCCGCCTCAATGCTCACTGACCTGGAGGACTTGGTTTAATTCATGGAGCCATGATTTCTCCTCTTTTGCATCATCAGTTTTTGACCTTAACTTTAAACGAATGTGAACCAAAAATTTGTCCTAAACTCATCTGCAGAACCACCTCTAAATGAGACAAAAAGAAAAAAAAGAGGTTTTGGATTGGCCCAGTAGACATGTGCACAAAATGCTGTTGTGATTGTCTGGGTTAAACAGGATAACAAGCTGTCAAATGTGTCATAAAAGAAAATAATAAACCCAAAGTTTGAGTTCCTGAAAATACTCGTACTATATTAAAACAACTGATGCCAGAAATGAGAGGCTGAAATTCTACCAAAGTCATATAAAAGTCTAATTTCCAGTTACAGCTTGTATCGATAGTGTAGGTACCTGATCTGCTCAGGTCGCTGCCCATGCTTATGATGTTACAATATGGCAATAACACTCTGATAAACTAAAACACACAAACACCTATTAAATAAGAATCATATCTCTGCCCTAACTAGTGGTTAGAGGATGAAGCTTGGAATCCTGAGGTTCTGTGATCGAGTCACTCTGGGTCTCTGAGCAAGACTCTTAACCCCACACTGCTTCCTGGGCACTGCACAATGGCAGCCCACTGCTCACCAAGGGGATTGGTTCAATGCAGAGGTAAATTTCTCCAATGTTAGATCAATAAAATTCAACTATTATTATTTCTGGGGTCTCAACATATCATTAACTATATTTGCTGCAATTGTATACTTCCTTTGGTGACCTAATGTAGCTGAAATTAGAATACAATCATTCCGAGTCTTGAAGTCAGTACTGCGTTTGAAGACAAACTGAGTTTTGTTGTCTGACAAGGTGGTACAAAAGGTTTCATTACTTCTTCAAATTAAAATTTGACAGCAGAGGAGGACAAATTAAACATCTTAAAATGACGTCTATGGACATTTTGGACAAAAAAACGAGGTTATTCTACATGCAGAAATTTGACAGTTGTTGACATGAAGTTAAAAGTCTGGTACCTATATTTGGGTAACTCATCGCTAAACTAAAAGACACTAATCTTTTAGCTTCTGAGCTAGCCTTTATACCAAGGCCTTGCATGTCATGATCGGTTCTCTAATGGAGACCCAAAGATGCAGAACACCACTGACGGACACAGGATGAAAAGTTTAACAAGTTTATTTGCACAATCACACAGTATATGCAGAAGGCTGGTTCGGGCCTGGATTCTGATTTCACCGGAGTCTGCGTGGGAGACAGCTCTGTTAAGGACTGTTGACGGAGTTTAGTTTCCAATGTAGCACAGATTGTACCTTGAGGGTTCTTGAGGTTCTCCTTGGGAGAGTCACTGTTGGTTCTGGAGAAGGATTTAGTAGCAGAGTCCATTAGCCGCTTCAGCGTCTCACGTCTAGCTTGAGCAGACCTTGGCCTTGGTTTCCCAGCTCTAGCCCAGAGCTGCTTGGAGGTTATCTGAGAGTCTTCAGGGTTTGGCTCTGAGGGTCGGCTCGGCAGGTTAGCTCTTCCAGAGCTTTCACGGAGGAAGCACGAGTTTCCTAGAGGCACAGAGACAGAGGTTAGAACACAACCAGGAATTAGGGTCATCGAGAAATCACTGAGATCAAGGCTTTAGCGCTGACCAACTGGAACAACACTGCGGCGTTGAGGCAAGGTCTGAAGACAGCTTATATAGTGGATCCTCTGATGGTCTTGATGAGCTGCAGCTGTGCAGGAGGCTCCCTCAGAGGATCCACGGCGGACTCTGCTGGAGAAAGATGGGATTTTCTCCAGCTCCCAACATTGCAGTTACTTCATTCACCACAAACAGATCATTTCAGTTTTGTTGTTCCTCAAGTAAAACATCCTCAATCATTAGACACACTAACACTACAGTGCTCCCAACTCTGCACACGGATGCTGCATTGTGTTATTATTTCTGTCTGGACCAACCACAATGTTTTAATACATCATGGCAATGTTCAGCCAATGATATAGTGTAATGGCACTTGCATGTGCAGGGCATAAGTAGATCTGACCAGCCGAGCATATACCTACACCTGCAGTGTAACCTGCCAATGGAGGTCCGTTAGTAAACTGGGAGATGTTTGCTTTGTCACATATGACAATGTTGGATAGCTTTTTCCTTGAGGTAAATTATTTTAAATCTTTACGTTTGCTTCACATTTTTCTTATCGATATATAATATTTAAAAAGCAAAATAAAACTTTAAGATGCCAAATAAATTCCATCATTGCATTCACCTTTCTTCCTAAAGACTTAGAGGTACAGCTGAAAACCATAATGGGTTCTGCATGTGCTACTAATCCATGTTCTGATAGGCTTAATCCCAAGTAGGGAGAGGGGTGCTGGTGTCTATCTCCTGCTGTCTACGGGTGAGAGGCGGGGTATACCCTGGACAGGTCGCCAGTTTTTAATGAAACATCTGCGTTTATTTTAAGTGTCATTTTAGCCCAAATGTGAGCTAGACTTTCTTCTATGAGGTGCAGAAATAAAAATATCAGAAAATCCGTAAAAGATCACATTTGGTCACCACTTTGTGTACCTCTGGTTGGATTGTGCTCCTGTCTCGATGAAGGCTCATCTTTTTTCATACAGCTGTGTCTTTTGTGTTGCAGTGCCATCTTTTTGGGGGCTGGTAAACTCTGCCTGGAACCTGTGCTCCGTTGGGAAGAGGCAGTCGCCAGTCAACATTGAAACCAGTCACATGATCTTCGACCCCTTCCTTACCCCTATAAAGCTGAACACAGGCGGACGCAAGGTAAGCACATGAATTCGAAGCAGAGCGCTATCTCTGCTGTCCGTTTGATAAATGCTCTTCCTTCGGCTGCTGGTGCCCTGCGTTATTTGTCCTTTTAGATGTGGTTCTACAATGTTCTCATGCCATTGTTGCAGTTGCTGTTGATTCTTTCTGAGGCTCTGATTGTGTGAGCTTTTTGTCCAAACAAAATTTTTAACACATTTACCTATTTAAGAGAAGACAGTTGTGATCTGGTTGAAGAAAAGCTTAAAGTTGATCCTTAGGGCTTTGCAGATGAAATCCTGCAGCCTAACAGCAGATTAGTTGAGCATAGTGTGTCTTATTCTCTCCTACACAGTGAAGCTCCAAAGACAGAAAACTGTTCCATTGTGGGCCATATGACAGCAGCTAATTGGGAGCCTCCACAGATGGGCTGCCTTCAAATGTGCACACTTGCATGCTGAGATTTATGTTAAGAGTGGTTTATGTTTGTATTCTAGCACAGATTTAGCCCTGAGCAACAATAGAATTTATTAAACACATTGCAGATAGCCGCCCATTGCAAGTTGCAGCTGGAAGCTTGCTTCATTTAACAGATCTTAGAACAGACTCTAGAAGAATCTTTGGGCTGTAGTTTGTCCATTTTTTTGTCTCAATGAGGAAGTTTGAATTGTAAGACTTTAGATAGAAACTTTTAGAGATAGAAACTGTGGTTACAACAGAAAACTTTGAGTTTTTCATTGTATGAGGGGAAAAAAGAGCTCCGTCCCTCTGAAAGAGAGCAGCGACCCTGTGTTGCATCCAGAGTTACACTTTTAAAATGTTCTGATTGCATGAGGACAGGTGTGACTGAGAGCAAAGGCAAATGTACTATTTACATCTCAATATAACCACTTTGGCCTCATCAGATTAGATAATTTGATGACTTTTTTTCTGTATCTCAGCAGTGAGCAGCATCTTGTGAGCTATTTGAATGTGTAATAATGTCTCTGAAGAGGCCTGGCAGCAGGGGTGTGACATTTATAAAGTTCATGCCAGTTGCTGTTCAAAATCACAGAAAAAAGAAAAAAACAAGTTAAAATGAAAAATAAATTGATTTAAAATTGGGTATGCTTACTTGTTGCTTGAATAGTGTATGTCTTGGTACATTTATAAAACAGGTATACAACCTTATAGTTCAGTCTGTTTTTCTTCTCATCACTCTTTTTGAAAAGATGACCATGAAGCCCAGAAGAACCATATTTAACACAATTTAAGGATGGAAATACCATTGAAATGAATGACCCCTCAGGTTTGGCTCTCCTAACCTCCACTCTTCTTTATTCCACTAACCTGTGAAGCTTTGTGTTCCTAATGTGGTTGACTTCCAAACCAACATTCTCACATGTAAACAAACATCTTGTAGAATAAATGTTAAAAGGTAAAAGTTGTTGAAATATACATATTTTTTTATGCTAACTGCTTCAAACCTCCAAAACAAACCTTGCCTTGTTTGCTTGGAGGTGAAAAACCAGACCGGTCAAAGATATATCTTGTTTGTTTATGTCAGGCTCTCCTCTGGAATAGGGAACTGCCAGATTTAAAAGGAATTTATATTTGGATATTATCAAAGGTGTGAAATAAATACTTGTTACTGTCTCATTGTTTTTCTACATATTGATAAGTACATGACGTAACGGCGATAACAAAATAGAGGTAAAATCAAGAGCTTGAAGAGAATCTGGAATTTGGAGCCAGGGTGGTTTAAAGAATAACATAGCGAAATGAATGAAGAAAGGCAACTGAAAAACAATGCAAACGATGAATTAGAAACTCACCCTGTCTTAAATTGTAAATATGCATGTTGATTATGTTTCAAGTTCTATTTCAACTTTGATGCAATTTGCAGCTTGTGGACACTAGAGCTCTAAAAGTAGGCATCTGCTTATGCAGTCTTTCTGCTCAGTTCAATTTATATTATCCTGTCTGAAAATTTAATTGAAAACAATATCAGACCAACTCAGTATTATTCATCTTCTCGCTACCAAAGCAGTGAACAAAAGAGATTTTTTTTCTGTGCATAGTATTGTTTTTGTTAAAAGTAGAGTTTTTTTTAAGATATCTTGCATTATCCATCCATCCATTATCTGAGGCGCTTAATCCCGAGTGGGATTGCGAGGGGTGCTGGTGCCTATCTCCAGCTGTCAATGGGTGAGAGGCGGGGTACACCCTGGACAGGTCGCCAGTCCATCGCAGGGCAACACAGAGACAAACAGGACAAACAGCCATTCACGCACACACTCACACCAAAGGAGAATCTAGAGAAGCCAATTCACCTAACAGTCATGATTTTGGACTGTAGGAGGAAGCTGTAGTACCTGGAGAGAACCCACGCATGCTCAGGGAGAACATGCAAACTCAATGCAGAAAGTCCCCTGACTGGGAATCGAACCCGAAACCTTCTTGTTGCAAGGCAGCAGTGCTGTCTTGCATTTTTCTTTGGCAAAAAAAAAAAAAAAAAAATCATATTACGTTTTTACTTGTAGTACCTCTACTTTGAACTTTCACTTAAGTAAAGCAATTGGTACTTGCACTTTTACCAGACTCTTTTTTGCACAGGTTTCTAGACATTTAGACCTTTCTGAGCACCTTTGTTACGTACCTCAGCACAATGCGTGCTCTAATTTGCAGTATTTGGGTAAAAAAAAACTTTTGGTTAAAAAAAAAACTTTGGGGCATTGAAAATACTTTATTTTATAAAGTTAAATCTTTATTACGTTGATGGTACTCTGGATTTATTTTAAATGCTTGTGTAAATTCCCAGTCATCTGGATTCTGGCTATCATCTATTTTCAATCTGTTACAGAATCTGTTTCTGTTACTTTACATAATCCATCCACAGTGTGATTACCAATAGATTATTTATGTACTATATACAGTAGAATAATGTGAGAAATCTATATGTTTTAACAAGACTTAGTGTTCTAATACATTATTTTTATTTTTGTACCTTTTACTTATCCACATTTAAATTGGGGATCATTCTTAACATTTTTTTATAGGAACTACAAAACAGTTGTTGTGGCCAGAGGTTAAGTGTCCTTTGTCAGTGCAGTGGTGAAATGTACAAGTACTGGAGTTTTGCAAATATAGGTTATTTAGTAGGTAATTATTTTAAAAGGCAAAACTGAAAAATTCCTCCGAAACAGCATTTCATTTTTAAATGAAAAAAATAGTACTTCCACTTCCAAAAGAACTTCTACAAAACAAACCACAGTAATTTATATACATGACCTGATATTGGTCCCACAATCCTGAGATGACATGTGTTGTGAATTGGCGCTATATTATTAAACTGAATTAAAAACTGCATAATTATGGGTCAGTTGTAATAATGAATTGGAGTGTTTAGCTGTTCTGGTGAATTACTTGTACAGTTTAGTTTCCATTCAGCTCATTTTTATGATTATTAGAGGTCAAACAAATTCCAGTTCATGCCAAAAAAGGCTAAACATTCTCATAGATAAACTGCTAAACACACAAGCACCAAACCCTCAAGTACAACAAAAAGGCTGCATAAGAGAAATGGTTAAAAAACTTGAAAAGATTGACACCAAAATAATTGCTAAATGATAAAACTGCTAAACAAAAATGCTGCTATTACTGATAACAGAGTTAGTTTCAAAAATCATCTTTTAAAATACTACCAAATTGAAGTTCCCCAGATCTCTATGGGGAGTTGACAACCTTATCAGGTAGCACTAGACTCTTAGCAAAGACAAGGTTGTATAACTTCATAAGTATGCTGATTGTAACAGACTATCAGTTCTAACATTAACACTTCTGTCTTCGCTGTGGCTCTGGTTTAACCTGACTAGTAACTGACTGTCCTCAGTAGTCTTACACATTTCTGTTTTTAAAGCAAGCAGTTTAAACAGTTTGCATCTTTTTTTTTTTCTTACCTGCAATTGTTTTTTGGTACCTGCAGCATTTTTCATTTTCCTCCTGTCTATTTGTTGTTATTGCTGCATTTTTCTTTTGCAGCATTTTTTTTCACCCTTCTACCTTCTGGGATTGCAGCATTTTTTTTGTGCAATTTACTCATTTTTGGTTCCCACTTAGTTTTTGTATTTGTCTGTTTTAGATATATTTAAGAGTAATGCTAGTAGCTTTGTAGGCCATTTGTGGGATATTCAGCCATTTTCACCTTGTCAGCCAACCTACTAATTACTGTTTGAAGTATAATTAGTGTTGGCTTAAATATTCCAAGTGTTAATTTGATAATTAATTGGCCGTTACATTATCCAGGTTGATTAAGTCACACTGCTGCAAATGTTCTCACTGTACCCAAGTTACTTCTGTTAGTACTGTAGTGTTAAATTCATACTGTAAATGCTTTAAAAAATGCCACTAATATCCACAGCACAATACTTACCGAATATGTGCAGCTTCTTCCTTTGTTGAATAATGAACGGGCATTCTTGCATGGCTGTGGTGTGGAGAGCTTGAGAAATTATATTAATCTGTCATTGAAAGACGACACATGCTCTTTTTCTTCTGGATAAGCATGATGATGGCCTGTGACTGATTCCTGATTGCATCCAGCAGACTGACATCTGTATCATGACATATTACTGGGTGTCATTACCATAAATTACTTGGACTTCTGTTTCATCTGATCTCTAACTAAGACAATCTGAGGCCCTGTTAAAAAGATATTGTTTTTTTTTTAGTGGTCAGCATCAACAGAGTTATGCTGCAATTCACTTTGAAGAATGTTTGAAACAACAGCTGAAGGTCATCTGTAAAATATTCATGCAGGTTGTAACATGCTTCTTGCTCATGATGGCTTATTAGGTATCATTTTTTTATGGAGGAGCCATGTCAACTGATCCATTATTTCACCACACATAATTCGAAACCCTATTATTTATTGCTGTCCAGTGGTGCTGAATCACAGTAGCCTTGAAGAACGACAACTGTGAGTTGCACCTAAACATACAAAAGACCAACTATCACACCTTGCATCAAACATTTCCTGG